AGTCTGGGGCTCTGTGCTTTTCAGCGGTGTTGCTGAGCCAAGCCTTGACTGCTGCAGTTCCCATTGCTGCTGGGTATGCCGCAGACTTGTCAAGCAGGGTCTTCAAGCCTTTGAATCGGTTCTTGCCGTGGCAATCAGTCCAACGTTCAGTCAGGTAGATGTGGTTTTTCCCTTGGCAAGGGCAAGGCTTGGCCAGCTTCTGAACCCATGCAGCTGGCCCCACGAATTTGTACTTCTTCCACAGCCTTTTCCCTTTTGCAGCAGACACATCAAAAGCGCAGCGATGGGTCACACAGCTCACCAGCTTCATGCTGGAAATAGCTGCCCGGAGCACGGGGAAGTTGAAGATAGTGCTGCTAGGTGGGTTCTCAAGGATGACCTCAATGCCTCGAAACTGTGCCAGCTGCATGAAGAAGGCGCGCGCCTTTGCTTGCAGATTGCCCTCTGCAACTTTTGGGTACGTTGTGTCACCTTGGAAGTTGTTCTTGTGTGACCGCAAGGTCCGGCTGATGTTGAGGCCCACCCATGATGAGCAAACAGGCGCAAGCCAAAGCAACCCTCCAAGTGCCAGCTGCATGACTAGCTTCACCGCATTCACAAACCCAGCCTTCACAGTCAAGTCTTCGCAGCTGGGCCCTGGAATGTTGGTGCGGCCCTCAATTCTGAACTTGTCGAAGGGTTGGGAAGAAAGACCTGATGCAGTGGCTGCTGCTGCCACACTTCCCACACCGGAGAAGATTTCGACTACCTTCAAATCTCGCGGCAAGCCATTGAACGTTGGGTCACTCAACACAGAGGCCACTGTGCAGCCAAAAAGCACCAAGGCAGCCATGTCCAGGTCAGAGCTCAGTCTCTGCACTCCAGACTCTGCTTGAACCGAAACTAAACAAGCACTTTAAACCTGGGAAGTTGAAACTTCAATCCAACTCACCCCTGCAACTTTCCTAGGCATGACTTCACTGTCAGACCTTTTCACCCTTCTGCGCTCCGCACTCAGCACTCTGCTACCTGCGGCTCTCCGCACTCAGCACTCTGCTATACGCGGCTGAATTTTACTAGCATCTGCCATGACACATTTGGCAAATGGTTAAAGTATGGGTTGCGTGTGCTTGGCAGCGGCTCTCTCTCAGCTGCAGCACTTTCCAAGAACCCATCTTCTGATGGAACAGAGTCACGCCCACGGGCTAAAAAGCGCAGCTCTCTTGCAGCGCGAAAAAGAGAGTGTTCTGGCCTCCACTCTTGCGACAGGTGCTCTAAGGAATTTGCAAAATTTTCCAACTCCTTCTGCCGATCTTCTGTCATGGGGCTGTTGCTGTAGCAGCTCCCTGTTGGAGAGGGGCTTTGGATGAGGAGGAACCTGCTTGTCGGCACCAGCAAAACAGGTGGGCCATTTGGTTCTTTGCTGGACATGTAGTGCTTCACAACAAGGAAGACATCATGTGGGTGCCCCTGCCGGAATCTTGGTGGGCTGCGCTGCAGCGCCTCGCGCTCTCCAAAGGAAAGGTCCATCCGCAATTTGAAAGTGAAAGAATGTGGAACTTCAATGCCCTTGTGTGGCAGAAAGCAATTGTATGGGTTGAGGCACATGGGGTCCATCCAGTCCTTGAAATTGCGAACATGGCTCAACAACTCACAAGTCAGCTCATAGCCCTTGCCGGAGACGACTGATGACATACCACTCCTGGGTTGCGCACAAAGAGCCAACACTGAAACATTTATACGAAAAGAAGCTAACTAGACACAACATGTCATTGCTCACTGGTCAACGCCAAGCTTCAGGATGGCCACTCGAAGGTCATCTGGCACCTTGATGCGCACCTTCCGCACAACCAGGGAAAGGACCAAGCTAAACATGAAGTCAATGTCCTCGTGTGTATGCCCCACCCGCAAAAAGTTGAGGACAGCTGAATGGAACTTGTACTTGCGGACCAAGACAGCAAGGTATTTGAAGACCTCGGCATTCTTAGCCTGAGATGTTGTGTTGTCCGATTGCACAACCAAATGCTCTGGCATCCTCTGCCCTTTTGCAGCGCAAATGCGCCGAACTCGTGCCAGTGTGCGGGTCAAGATTTCACAAAAGAAGGAGGCCCCATGAAAGAAGTTCTCATCATCCGCCAAATAAAAATCACAACAGTAGCCATGAGCCATTGCCAGGTGAACAGTGAGTTTTGGCCGGTTGAACTTCTCAAGAATCTTCGGGGGTTGGAAGCTGTATTGCGGCCAAATCCCTTTACTCTTGTCCATCCCATCGATGATCACGGTCAGAACTCTGGACTCTGGGCTCCGACTCTGCCACCGTAAATGCCAGTAGATCAGCCTGTCGTGATACTGCTCTCGCAGGTGGTGCTGCCAAGCTTCTGCACGCTGCCGCTTTTGCAAGGGGGTTCCCCCACTGGAGTGGATGAACTGGGAATGCTCAAAGCACACATTGCACTGGCTATGCTGGGACGGCTTGCGCAGTCCAATGACATGTCTCCATCCTTACTGGGCAACAATGATTGAAAATGCAACGCAGCTAAGCAATTCAGCAGCAGGCAAGAGCAAAACATAAACCAATTCAGTACAAACAAATTGAAACTCAACCAGGGCTCGCTCATGCCACCGCTTCCAAAAAGTCGTCCAGGAAGAAGCTTTCCCGGGGCACCGGACCACAACCCAAGCTAAATACTGCCACCACAGATCAATGGGCTTCTGATGTTGGACATACCGCCGGGGGAGGTTGACATCATCCAATGTCATTGCTGAGGCATCCTGAAGATATGTTTGCGCTGGGTCCCAGCCAAACAGAGGCAGCATTGAGTGCAATGCTGGGCTAGTGTGGTGGTGGTCACTGCCTAGCCTTGCGGAAGTTGAGTCTGCGCTGATCGAATTGTCCACATCCTCCACTTTGCAAGCCGGGTCTTCTGGTAGGAACTCAGCTGCTGAATTGTAAAGCTCAAAGAAGTATTGGTCTACAGAAATTCGTGCTTCACCACATTGCCTGCCATTTTTGAATCTCATGTCCACTTCTCCATGCACAGCTTTCACAAAAGTTCGGGCGCTGCAGCCTAATACCTCACAAAGCCTCTTCAAGCAAATGCGCTTGCCCAAAAGCTTCCACTGAACTCTCGTACTGTCAGATTCCTTGCCTGTGGTGTAGCAAGTGTTCAGCAAATTCGATCGCTCTTCTAAATTCATGTGCTGAAAAAGATTGCGAAATTGGGCCACCTCTTCTAAACGAAAGCCAGTCTCACAAGATACACAAACGCCCGACGCACTCTTGGAATTCGGGCATGGTCTTGCAAAGATCTTGTGGATAGCAGCTTGGGCATCACCATTCTGGGTGATCTGCTGGCCTGACAAAGGCTTGCAAAGGATAGCCATCCCCAAAGTCAGCTCAACTTCTGGCTTTGGCTCCTGCCTTTCCCCTGTGAAAGGCTTAAACAATTTCTCTCCACAAGGGCTTGGGTTTAGCCATTGCACTCTCCGCTTTTGTTTCTGAAAAGCATCAGATTCACACTTTGGATTCAATGTCTGCAACTGGGAGCACCCATTGCTGTGCAATCCACCAGGTGAAGGCGCCAACCAAGAAGCTGCGTTTGCAGTCTTAGACGGGCCTGGCGGCGGCTGCAGCCAAGATGGCATGGACACTGAGCGTTGCTTCTTTGAGCACTGTCAAGACGGCGGGCGCGCAACAGAATCACAGAGAAACAAATCGAACTGCTAGTTGGACCAAAAATGTGCACCTAACTGAGAGAAACAAACCGACGCGCTAGTTACACCAAACATGTGCGCATACAACAAACTACGCAAGCACTGAGCGCTCTTTTCAGCGTTCTTCCCACAAAACTCAATGCAGCCACTACCCCTTTCCCCAAAGTTTATTCTTTGTGGAGCATGAAACCCCGGCAGGTGCTATCACTGATTGAGCTCCCTCTCCTTGTGTTCCTTCCACTTCTTTGAGCCTTTCCGGATTGCGTCGCACACATCCTCATGTGTGCTCTTCTTCTTCTTCTTCTTTAGTGATGCCTTGAGGTGGTCGCCAATGAACTTGTAGTAGGCCTCTTGGGACGTAGTCTTCATCAGGCCTTGCGCGCGACCGGGAAACTTTTCCTGCAAACTTTTCCGGGTCTCTTGCCACAGCTTCTTCTTCAAGTTGAACTGCGCAGTCTTGTCTTCACCCTTTGGGGGGCGACGCCCAGCAAAAGTGCCTGCGCTGCCCCATTCTTTCTTGCAGGATGAGCCTCCTGTCTCCACAGGCACAGGCATTGGCGCAGCATCGTCAGGCTCTTGAGCAGGCTCCTCCTGAGATTGAGGTGCAACAGCAGCAGCTGCCTCACCTTTCTCATTGTCAGGCTTTGCAAGCGGCAGTTCTGTCTTCAACCTTTTGCGTTGGTTCTGAGGGGTCGCAACAGACTGGGCGATCTGCTTGGCAGCAAGGGTTGCCAATCTCACTGATGCTTCTGCAGCTTCCGCTGCCTTTTTGGCAGCTGCTGTGGCTGCTGCAGAGCGCTTGTCATGTTCGATTTTCATCTCATGCTTGCTTGGCTTCTTCGGTGCAGTTTCTTGGTCTCCGTGTCGGCCGCCAGAAGATGAACCAGGCACCGGGCACGCCCATGAGCGCCAAGCGCTGGATGTCTTCGCACCAGTGTTAGACGCACTAGCTCCCACAGAAAACACAGCAGTGGGAGGAGGAGGATGGCGAGCAGCAGGAGGGGGAGCAGCAGGCGCAACTCCATCAAGATCAGCCATCCAATCTCCACATTCTGAATCAGAGTAGGCCATGGCAAAGCAGGTGACTCTAAGGATTTAGACTCAGGGCTCTGCACTCTGTGCTCAGCTCAATCAGAGACAGCTGGGAGCCAAACAAAGTAGAGCACACTGGCAGTTACTTTCAGCTACTTCAGAATGAAAGTGAGCAGTGAGCAAGAAAAAGGGAATCACTTGCAAGCTTGTTCCTTCAAACCTGCAATGGTTCTCAAAAACGGCATTGCTGCCCATAGATCACTAAACATTTGGCCCTACGCCAGCCGGGCCAGAACACCCTTCTTCAAGGAAAGTGGCTGGCTTGGAAACAGCCCTGGCTTCACAGGCACACACTGCACACCCTGCTCAGTATCAGAAAGTTGCCAGCGGTCCACCAGCTCCAAATTCCCCAGCTGATGCTTCTTGGTTTCGGGATCCCATTTGTCCAGCTGGCCCATGACGCAGAAGCTCCCAGCATCATCCCAATCTGGAGGGGCCTTGCCTCCAATCTTGCGGGGGGTGTTGGCTGGCACAAAATTGCAGCTCTCAGTGCTGGAAACATCGTAGACACGGCCAGTTGTGTCACCAGCTTGGTCCTCAGTGCACGGGCAAAAAAAGACTGAAGCTATAGCGATTAAAAAAAAGTTGTCGGTTTTAGACCGTTTAAAGTTGTCGGTTTTAGGCCGTTTTAAGTTGTCGGTTTTAGACCGTTTAAAGTTGTCGGTTTTAGACCGTTTGTGTCCTTGTCAGTCTTCGGTGTGATGGTGTGGCACGCAAAGTCAATGGTGGCAAGGTCTTTCCCATCAGCTTCCAAGCCATGCAGCCAGCTGCGAAGGGCCTTGCGCTTTTCAGGTCCTTTGCTGTCAGTGGTAAAGCAAGCGACATCCAAGTCATTCTTGAAGACCATGGGGAAGACTTTGGACTTGCTTGCAGCTGCTGTGGCCTCCTGCCAGTGAAACAGCTTCAGATTATTCAGACTCAGTTAACACAGCAGCAGCAAAACAAACACAAAGTCACAGCTGTCCTCTCCCAACTTGAAGGTGCCAAAAACCAAAGCAAGCGGCGGGCCATCATCGTTGAGTTCACACTCAGCGTCTGAAGCCAAAGCCCACACAGCGCCATTCTTGTCAAAGAACAACTTGGCTGAGCCCACTGGGACCTCCACCAGTTTTCCATGTTGGGACGCAAGCTCCTCCACTGTTTGAGGCCCATCCTTCTCAGCTTCAAGAACTTTGGCTTTCTTGGCAGGGGTGGCGCCTTCTGCGCCTGATTCAGCTGGGCGCTTCACATCGGAGCGGTGCGGAACGCCTGATGGGTTCCACTCTGCGTTGTGCTCAGCCACCGCTGCATCCCACTCTGCTCGTGCCTCTGGGCTCTGAATCTTGCTCTCAAGGAGGTCCAATGCAGTGTCTCGCAAGGGCAAAGAGTTGGAAGCTGCGGGGTATGTCATAGTGAAGTCACTCTCAGAGAAGGTTGGTGAGGTGCGTGACTCCTGGTAGGTGGACACGGGAACCCAACCCTCAATCTTCAAGACATTTTCCGTGCAGACCAAGTGGAGCTTCCGGCAAATTTGGTTACGGAGCCATTTGGCAATCTTGGCATGCTCCTTCTGCTTTCGATTTGGCTGGTCTTCACTCCAGCCACACTGTCGTAGCCCAGCACAGAGCTATTCAACCAGTAGATTTTGTACACAGGTTCCATGGGCAAGCCTTGATCGTTGCAGAAACGGTTGATGCTAGCCTCAGCAAAAGTTCCACCATGTGAGACCTCAGCAAGGTCTCTGAGCGGGAAGAAGGTGTCAGCGTAGTTCTCAATGGCAGCCCTTTGCTTGGCCCTCTCCTGATCTAGCTGCTCTTGCTTCAGACCCAGCCCTTGAAGCTTGAAATCCTCAACCTTGCCTTGGAAAGACTTCCAAAGAAATTGTTCTTTGGCAAGCCTGGCTTTGGCCTTTGCAAGCTCTGCCTTCTCAAGGTCACTGTTCGCCTTGGCTTCCATGTCTTCCTTGGAGTCAATGGTGGCCCCCTGCACAGTTTTCAGCTAACAAGTGCCCTTATTTAATCATGCCTAAAACAAAAATTGCCTTATCAATTTCCTGAGCAACCCAGCCTGGTAGCCTACTTCAGTGAGAAAACGGAACGAAGACGGAGCGAGGGTGGGATTCAGCATCCGGTATTTCTCCTGCAGCTCTGTGTCAAGGTAGCCCCTGCAGAACTTTTCCTGGAGCCTGATCATGCCACTCTTCGCGAGTAGGCCCTCCCACTGCTGGAGAAAATGGCTGAAGATAGCTGCCACGGCCCAAGCTGCATCATTCTCAAGCTTGTCCCGAAAGCTGGAGGAAGCTGTAGTGAGGTTGACCTTCTTCTTCAAGCGCTTGGCATCTGCCACCCTGAACTGGAAGTATAGGATCTTGCGCTTCACAAACCAGTGCCGCTTCCTGTTGTCTGGAGCCAGGATGCATCTCCACAGCTCATTGTCTTGCCTTGGCTTGCTGCCATTGAAAAAGAAGTCATTGCCCAACACTTTGTATGGGAGGGCGCTGTTTTTAATCAAGGTCTGCTGCCAATGGTAGTCAATGGCGCTGAAAGTGTCCTCATCCAGGGTCGGCAGCGCCTTCACAATGCAAACCTCCATGTCCGTCAGCTGCTTCACCTCACTCTGGCTGCCCTGGTTGAACATTGGGATCAAGACTTTGCAAGCTTCATCCCATTGCATGCCGTCGGCCCGCGCTTGGGCAAGAAGAAGGTTGGCCACTTGAATGCAATCAGGGCGCGGGCGTGCGGCTTCAGAAAACTTGTCCTGCAAGCACTGGAAGCGATCAGTGCGCTCATCCCCTGCCGTCTTGTATGTGCAGCGAAAGCCAAAGAGTGGCTTAATGCTCGGGATCAGGGCTCTGAACTCTGGATCTGAGAGTTCGTTTTTGATCTCATAGACACCGAGTAAGATGGCTTTGATTGCCAAACTCTTTGCAAAACCAATGCCATGGCCAACGCTGAAGGGCTCCAGGCCATCACCCTCAGAGCACATGGACTTGGGGAAAAAGACGTGGATGGGGTTCTCCACAGAGTTGTAGGGCTTCTCCAGGAAGTCGTTCACACACCGAAGAACATGCACCATCTTTGACTTCCCCTTCAAAGACATGGCAGGATCAAATGACAGGTGCCAGGGGTTGAGGAAGACCTCCACTGTCTCATTGGCCAGGGGAAGCATAGGCACTGTGGATGCCGCTGCTCGCCGTTGGAACACAAAGCCGGGGTCAGCCTTTTCCACCATCTGCTTCACCTCTTCCATGAGGGACTTGAAGTTGTCCAGGCCTTTTGGGAAGAAGCGGTCGTGCAAATAGTCACCTGGACAAAAAACCTTTGGTTGCTGTCACACACGTTGGTGTTACATGTGGCCCCTTCAAGTGTAAACATGCAAATTGTTTACTAGTCAAGTAGCAGATTTCCACAGCATCAGGCTGTTCTGGGTCACCAGAACCACCAAAAGTCACCACCAGCCAATTCTGCATCTTGGCCATGGCTGATTTCCAATCACTGGATGGCGCCATAGTGCTCAGTGATCTGGGCTCTGAGCTCCCCACTCAACCAAGCTCTAAGCCAAAATCTG